TATATATATATATATATATATATATATATATATATATATATATATATATATATATATATATATATATATATATATATATATATATATATATATATATGTGTGTATATATACATATAAAAAAAACATAGTTTATGCGCACATATTATATGTGTGTATAAAATATGTTTTTTTTTAAATAAATAAAATTTGGGAATGTCTTACTTGTTATCTCAAAATTGCATCTTAATTTTCTTTCTTATTTAACCTTTAGTGTTTTAGATATTTTATCAGAAAAATTTAGTTGAATTGTACAACTATTTATATATTAGTATTTATAGTTAAACATATAGTTAAGCAAAAGTTAAAAATATGAAATGTTTTTAACAATATCTTAAAATATTTTTAAATGTGCAACGTAAAATAAAACAATGTTTTCTAGATCTGATAACAATATATGTGGGATCACACCTCTATTTTCTGAAACCATCTGCGGGCACTTCAATTGCAGAATATTTGATCACCTATGGAATCAATTAGAGTTAATTGGAAATGAGCAAGTTGTACTGATGTAGGAGTCACTGCATACTTTTTATATAGATACATTCATACGTAAAGAAAATTAGATAAAAATATATATTTTCTTTTTAGAAAAAAACATTTTTTTGAAGTTCTGACAAAGTAATGTGAAAAAAAAAATAAGGAAAAAAGATATTTAAAAAAGCTTCTAATTAATGCTAAGTAATCCATAAGATTTAACTAATAAATCTTGAACAATAAATCTTTAATTGATGAAAAATATTACAAGTATCATTTCTTCAGAGCAAAATCAATATATTTCTTGTTTTAAGAATTGAATGTCTTAAACTACGGACAAAGATTTAAAAATTTGCTGTATTCATGTTTTCATTTGTATTTATGATTTTGCTGTATTTATATTTTCATTTGTATTTTTATTCATTTGTATTAAAGCATTTACATTTGTGTTGTTAGGTATATGGTTGGCTATAATATGGAAACTTTAAAAAGTTTAAATCCACAATTGTGGATTTGATTGTGGATTGGATGTTTTGTACAAAGCATAAAGTATAAATATGGAATCTGGAAGCGATATCGGCGCGATAGGGGTGTGTGTGGGAGAGGGGAGGGGGAAAGGGTGTAACACCCCCTTATTAATGGTTTTTTTGTTTATTTAGTCGGCAAATGTAACCCTTTTTGACTAGTTAGTCGGCAAATGTAGACCCTTTTCACAAGTTAGTCGGTAAATTTATACTGTTAGTCGGCAAATGTCGATAAGGCAGTCGGCAAATATTAAAAAACAAGGACCTTTTTTTTTTTTAGACAGCTAGTCGGCAAAAAATGTAATAGCACCCCCTCCCCTCCCCACGTGACACTTATTCGCGCCGGCCCTGATTGTATTGAATCTGGATATTATGTGGAGAGAAAAAATAGTAAATAGTAAATATATATATATATATATATATATATATATATATATATATATATATATATATATATATATATATATATATATATATATATATATATATATATATATATATATATATATATATATATAAATGTAATAATAATATTTTTATTTTAATAAAAAATTAAAGAGTTTAATTTTTTTAAACTAATTTTTATTATATTATATTAATAATATTTTTATTGTTATTTTTAAACTGATAATTTTGCTCGTGGTCTACCATTTGATGATATTATTTATGGTCCATTATATCAAAAACACAAGATACGATCATAATGTTAATAGACCACTGGTGTTGATTCAAAGGTAAAAACAAATTTTTCAAAACAGTTGAAGTTTATATTATAAGCATATAAAATGTTTGAAAAATGCTTATGCAAAAGCTTATACAATAATATGTAAGTTTAAAAAAATTTAAAAAGAAAGAATAAGCTTATGCAAAAAAGGAAATAAGGCTCGCAATATATGCTTATCTTTCTTAATTCCACATATTTTAATTTATAATCTATGTCATGATTATGTTATTTATTTTGTGTTTAGGTATATTTGACTATAACCAAGACAATGCGAGAAAAAACGCAAAAAGAAAGAAAGATAACAGTTATTTGCTCTAAAAGCATATATAATTTATATATATATATATATATATATATATAAATTTTTATTAAACTTTTTTTATGCAATATTTAGTGCAACAAATTGTCATTAATAACTGCTGAATATATTTATGTCAATAATATTTTCTTGTAAAATTTTTTTTATCTGCCGCAGTAGTTGATGAAAATGTTTTAAATATTTATTAGTATTGCTCATATCGTTTTAAAATGCAAAACGTTTAAAATTCTCATAAAGATAATAGAGCTTTAGTCTGCCTAATTTGTTTTTCAAAAGAATAAGGAATGACAAAAGTTAAATAAGGAAGTGTAACATTGAATGTAAACTTTCCTAGTCGCATTTGTACTAAAAAAGCTTTAGAAAGACTTAAAAAAGAAGATAAAAACATTGTTCAGAATAAGCCATTTGATTTCTCAAAAGCGAAAGTAATTATACTTACCAAAAAACAATCATTCTGTGTTTGTCACCTTGAAAAATAAAAATATGTAAAAGTTTAGGGTTGTCATTGAAAGGATTACCCTACCCTTGCACTCTCACAACGAGAAAAAATATATATCAAAATAACTTGATAAAGGTTGGGCAAACCTTTTATTTTTGATTTAATATTTTGAACTTGAAGTTTAGAAATTTATATAAATTATTTGAAATATAAAAACTGAAAACATGGATATAAATTTCTTTTGATATTAAGACAGACAAGGTGCCAAACTTCAATACTCAAAAGTATTGAAAAGAAAACTTGAGGAGGAGGGAGACAAAATCAAGGTTGCAGCCAACGGTAAAGCAACTGCAGTGGAACAAACAAAAAACTCTTTGAAAGTGTTTTTTCCAATTGATAAAATTTCGCAAGTAAACAAATTTAAAAATACTTGTAGACTTAGTAATACATAGGGAGCCAAAGTTTTTAGTAGGGGAGAGTGGGAAGAAGTGGGACGCAGGAGAAGTGGGACAGCCTAAAATTTCTAAATAGGAGTAGTGTCTAAATACTGTTGTTAAAGGAAACAATTAAATTTCTTCCTTTTTATTTAGCAGAAATTGCTTTGTTTTACTACGTGCGCTAGAAGCCCTAATTTTGAAATGTACCTTAAAAAAGTGTTTAAATTGGAGTGAAGTGGGACAGAAAAAAAAAAAAAATAAGGCCCGCTTCTTCCAGCCGCGATTTGTCTATTTCGATTGGTGAAAGCTCTTAAACATTTTAATGTTGATTAGGTGATTTAATGGTTTTATCAGTTTCTATTTAATAATTTACCCCAATGGCACGGTCTCTCTAAAAGCAAAATTTTATATACTGAGTTATAATTGGCTGGAAACCTAAGGGGATTGAACCGGTGCCTAAAAAGAAGGTTTATTTGTAAAAACTTCTTTGGTTTAGTTTATACATCAAATAAAAAAGATATTGCCATTATCCTAAAAAAAAATTTACGAGTCCCATTTCTCCCCACTCTCCCCTGTATTTAGAAGCTGGAAGGGAAGAGAATTATTTCAAAGCAATGTAAGAGAGGAATTAAGAGAATTGAAGAAGATAGGTTTTTAAATGATTATTTTGATGCAAAAGAAAAATTTTTTGAAAAAGATCCAGAAGTTTGGTTTATTGTAAAAACACAAAAGGATTTGTTTAGACAGTAATAAAGGAGAGAAAATTGACAAAAGACTACGTTCTAAAGGTGGACATTGACGTTGAAGACGGAATTTTAAAAGTTGGTTTTAACATTATAGAAAAAGTGACAGATTGTCAAAACAAAAAGTTTAGCTATGAGGAAGGAATAGGTAATAAAAAATATAAAGATGGTAGTGCAAACAACTTGTTTATTATAGGATTAACAGAAAACGTGGCTAAATCTCATTCAAAACTTGAGAAAATTATCACTATTTTAAAGTTAAATAGTTTAAAATACTTTTGTGCTTTTGATATGAAATTGACCAACATATTTTTTCCAATTGAAAGTGCAGCATCAACACATCTTTGCTCTTTGTGTAAAATTAGAAAAGAAAAAATGCAGGATTTTGAAAATCATGGTGAGCTCAGAACTCTAGAAAGTATCCTTTCATTAGCTAATGCTTACAAAGCCGCCTGTAAAGATTTTATAAATAAATGTAAGCTTTCAGCTCCATCTCATATTAATATCGTTAAACTTCCAATAGTTGATCTGCTTGATGACGTAAAAGTTATTAAATCCTTGCTCCAATAGAACTTCGTTTATTTTGTGGAAATACAAACAAAATTTATGATAATCTTGAAAAATATTTGCAATCTATGCATACCACTTTATCAGCAAACCACTGGAACCAACTTTTTGATTTTTAAAGGCCTACACTGTAAAAAATGTCACACCAAATTGTCTAATAAAATTGACATGTCACGAAGCCCGATTTAACCCGCGACATTTAGAGTTAAAACTGTCACGCGACTTTTAGATATTAAGTTTGGCGCGACATATATAATTAAATCAGTCACGCGACTTTTAGCAATTAAATATGGCGTGACATTTATAATTAAATTTGTCACGCGACTTTTTAAAAATGGCGTGACAATTTAATTTCTTATTTGTCACGGGACATCTAAAACACTATCGTTTCGCATGTCGCCAAGCCCGATTATTCACGCCACATTTAAAAAATTTAAATGTGGCGCGTTAAATCGGGCTCGGTGACATGCGACACGATAGTGTTTTAGATGTCCCGTGACAAATAAAAAATATAAATGTCACGCCATACGAAATCTCTAAAAATCGCGTGACTAATTTAATAAATGGCACACTTTACTTAAATTAAATAAATAAAAAGACCAAAGAAATAATGAAAATTATATTTTATTTGTATAAAAAGTAACCATCATCAAACATAAATATAAATATTTAATTTTAAATTGTCTTCATGTTTTTATTCGAAAAGTTGAACAGTTGCAAAATACAACAAAACCTTTTACAAGACTCGGCATTTTTTTAACCAAAGCTTATTTGTACAAGCAAATGGTATTTGCAAGACGTAATGCTGCAACAGCCCCAAAACTCCCCCAAACGATCTTGGGTACGACAAGTCCATAATATAATAATAAGCAATTAATTGAAGCTCGTGTAAGGAATCATTATGCCGATGACCAATCGCAATTACTTTCCCTTTATCAAGAAATGTTATTTTCTCTCCTAAAATGAGTTGGGGCCCAGGAGAAGAGACGTTATCTTCAGACTAAAAATTTGTTAAAAAATAAAAATTTAAATCTATTTTAATAACATAACATTACAAAAATAATTAACAATTTAAAAAATTCAAAAAGAAACAACTATATGTTAAACTTACACTAGCAATAACAATTGGACACAACACTCCTTTTCTGGTAGTATTCTTATGAAATCGTATTAGGGCAGACGGAATATCTGAACCTGGATACAACTTTTCAACAACATGCAACTTATAAGTTGCATGTTGGCCAATTTAAAGTTCGAGAATCTTCAAAACTGCTAAAAAAAAAAGTATTCAAGTGTTAGAAAAATTATTAAAATCTTTCAAACAGGAAAATAATAAACATATCATTTCTATAGTTAATTCCTTTAAATGCTTAAAATCTGTTTAAGTTGCATGTGTTGGTTCTAGTTTGTTACCTCAATATGAATCAACCATTAACGAATACAATTATGCTTATGTTATACCTACATGCGAATTTCTTTCACTTACGTCAAATTCTAATCCAAATAAAGGATTCGGTTTTTAGTCTGAACAGGCCTCTGAATCTGTTTATTATGATTTCAGTTTTGGCAGAGTAGATGCAAAGTTTTTAGTAGCCTTAAAGACGATACGCAAAGCCTGCTTAAAGCCACTGTAACGTACAACTCCCGACATATATTTTTTTTAAAACAGTTTTACTTTAAAATTAAATATGTTTGTTATGGTTGCACAGGTAACTAACTGATTTATAAGGTTAAGTCTGTAGTTATGCAATAAAATATCTAGATTAGGCAAACCTAGTACTATAAACATATTTGTAGTGCTTGAGTACTTGTCATATTCAAAAACATTTTAGCACATTTCTTGTAACAAGAGTCTAGCTTTCTAGCATTTCTTGAATCTTCTGATGAATATGTTTGTACGTGTATATAGACATTTAGCCTCTCAATCAATATCAGCATTATTAAACAAACCATTTTCTATTTTGTGACCCAAATACTTGAATTTGTCAATGAAAAATAATTTACATCCAGCTAGGTAAAGAGTGGAAAATTGCTTCATACAATTTTAATTCTCTGTTTTGGGTTAAAGACCATACACACTGTTTTTTTGTATTAAATGGCATGTTAATGGCAGTGTCTTTAATATGCAAACCAAGAAGGAGAAACTAGTACAATATCGTCGACATATGGCAAAAGATTCAAAAAAGTTCCACCTATGTTACATCCAATATGCATGTTCGTAATATTGAAAATCAGTGTAAAATATAAACAAGAATGGTGAAAGAATTCCACCTTGCCATACAGCATTGCTTATGTTAAAGTTATCAGAGTTCACTTTCTGCCACATGACATACATAGTTTGATTCTTGTACCAAGGTGCAAGTAGACAACATTCTTGACAATACCCTGATCAATTAAGTTAGAAAACAGTTTCCATTAATTAACGCTATCAAAAGCTTTGATGAAATCTATAAAACAAGTGAATACATGGCTTCCTTTAAAAATATAGCATTTAACTGTCTTTTTTAAACAATATAAACAAGACATTCTCATGAGATTCGATTCTTTCTAATAAAATATGTTCAAGTATTTTAAAGCAAGCAGAAGAGATTGTGATTGCTTTGTAATTGTTTACATCTGTTAAGTCTCCAATTTTAGATTTTACTAGAGGTATCATTATGGCTTTACAAAATTTCCATGGCAAATTTATATAAAACAAGCGTAAAATGATTCCATAAACAAGTCATATATATGGTCCATCATATATATATATATATATATATATATATATATATATATATATATATATATATATATATATATATATATATATATATATATATATATATATATATATATATATATATATATATATAATATATATATATATATATATATATATATATATATATATATATATATATATATATATATATATATATATATATATATAAATATATATATATATATATATAAATAAAATTATGGCCGTCCAAAAAAGTATGAATAATTAAATAGACACATCCGAGATAAAGAATAAACTTCGAGTGAAAATGTTTTACTTTGCAGACTTAACTCAAACATTTTTATGAAAAGTCCCTTACTAAGAATACATTTTGCTAGCTTGGTTTATAATGAAACATGTATCTTTTACATTATAGTTTGTATATTCATTAAATTGTAGAATTAGAATTACATGGAAAAGCCATATTACTAACTTGTGCAATAAAATTTCAAAGAGTATAGGCATTTTAT